CTCGAAGAAGTCTTATATTATTTAAATAAATACAATAATAAATACTTGGAAAGTTGTCGCTAAACTCGGTGAACGCATTCGGAGCACGGTCGGTCATTATAGTGAGATTAAATTGTAATATATAATGCAAGTTAGTAAAATAAATTATACATTGCTCAAAGAAAGTACTGAGAGTGCTTTATTAACTAGAAATTTATATTTACGTTTACTTTGAATGACGAGTTTATATTAGAAAATATGACAATCATTTATTATATACAATTATGTATGTATGTATAGAATTACCCACTCTTTAGAATTTAAATTTTTTGATTAGTGAAATAAGCAAACTAAACCGATTACAGGCGAATTACTTAAAATTTCATATAATATCTAGTCACAAAAAGAATATATTTTTCGCCTGTTTTGAAATTTTATGCGTTTACATACTCATAAAAAAATTGTGTATACGAGTTCCTACAGACATTAATAAATACGTTTTACGGCGCATTCATGGAAAATCATTCAACAGGTAGCAACAGTGTTTAGACGCTTTATATTATCTCTTTTTTACTGCTTCACGGTTTGCAGATGAACAATTCTCTCCGAACAGCTTATAAAGACAATGCATAAATTAAATKAATGAGAGTGGGACATTTCTATTGCAAATTTTATTCAATTTAATTGTTAACATGTTTACATTTAATAACAAAGGTAACATTGCATCTAATATTCGAAGCATTCGAAAGAGCTCTTTGACATCAATGACACCGCAGTAGACCATCAGTTCTATTTAGTATTCGGTGAGCATTAGATTAAATAATTTCATCRTGAATTTAAGCAATATTAAAAATATATCAACTTATTAATTTTTAATTTAACTTCTTTACATGCTTACATACATACTTACAAAAGGATACTACAAAAGTTGATAAAGTAAAAATCGAACAATGACGCGCGCATTCAATCATAAATTATTCCTCAACTGTTGTAATCTCATATTCCTGGTAAGTAAAATCAAATGTTTGCTATAATGTGATAGTAAATACCAGTACATGCATATAAATTAATATTGAAACGTTTGCTGAAAAACATAGTCCATATTGTCCGTTACGCTCTGATACTTACACTATATTATATTTTCTCAACATGTTGCAAAGAGTGTAATGGACCAAAGCGAACTACAATCACGCTTACTTCATACCAATTTAGTTTTGAAATAAGTTGTGGCAAAATGTGTATATTTTCTGAAAATAATGTGTACTGTATTTTTCAATCGAAAGTTGGCGAATTAGCCCTACTCGTATATACTACATATCATGATTTTCGGTACTCTATGTTCTTATATAGAAAATTTTCTATTTCTGTTATAGTTTCGGTGCAATCGGAGATAACGTTTTTTCTTGTTTTTTGTTACCATTGTTGTTGGCTGCTTGTTTATTTTTCCTAAAAGTCTATATAATTTTGTGTATTTAACAATTTATATGTTTCTTTTCTAGTTCTGTGGAGTGATTCTTATCGTTTCTGGTTTCCTCCTTTTTAACGATTCAAAACGTATTCTTCTATCGCGTCTTCTGGTGACAACGAGCGAGAAACTGAACAGCTTACCACAACCTTTATTCTATTATATTTCCATTGGCGTTCCTGTAGCGGGATGTATAGCAGTTCTCGTCTCCATGGTTGGATTTTGGGCGTCCGGCCTGCACACCTATTGCTGCCTTAGTTTGTATTTTTTATCAGTGGTCGTTTTACTCCTAGCTCAATTATTAGTCTGTCTAGCGATTACTTTGTGGCCACATTGTTTGGGCATCAGTTTGGATGAAACGAAAATGGTTAAAGTTCTACAGGGAAACTATGGTATACCTGGGAAAGAGCAATTCACTAATGCCATTGATTTGGTCCAGACTCATTTCGGTTGCTGTGGCATAAATAACGATATTAACTATGACACATCCCTTTGGAAACTGCAGAGTTACGGTYAGCGAGAGTGGGTAGTACCTCTTACTTGTTGTATTTTACAAAATGTCGATGATAAGTTGTCTTATTTGGATCCGAAGCCCGAGAACATAACTCAGTGTCAAATGTTGCAGAAAATGGACTATGTAAAAAATCGGCACAATATGCCTTGTCTCAAATACATAGAGAATTGGTATAATGAACAGTATACATTGTTCTTACAATTTAGTCTTATCATTGCTATTGTGGAGTTTTGCATATTACTCTCGGTAATTGTAAATTGTACAAAAATAGCAAAGAAAAGTTTAAAACAAGAAGCGTTTTCAAAAGGTACACAAGTAAATAAAAATCAAAAACTATTTGAGAATGTTTACGAACAGGATTTAAAATCAAAAGTTGAAAATACAGCCATCAGACTAAACAAGAATTGCAGCTTGTCAAACTTATTTAACAAAGTGTACATAAAACCTCGTAACCTGCATAAACTTCGCCATACTACCAATGATAATAATACGAATCTTGACAGCATTCAATAAGAAGTAACTGCTATTTTAATTGTTTCAGCTATAACTTTAAAAAGGTATTGTTCGATAAATTAAGTTTTTATATTTTATTAATTATACTTGTATATGTATATATATATATATATCTATTATACTACTCACTTACTAAAGTTTCAGGTGTGCTAAACATTTTTTAAATAAAAACATACAAATTTATACTCTTACTTAAGAAAAATTAAGTCGTCATCAGAACTGTCGGAAAGCTGGTGAATACGCTTTCGTTTCTTAAACTGGGCGACCTTTTTGAATTTTTTTCGTGCACGTTTTTGTTCTTTTAAAATACGTTCAGCTCGTCCCAGCGGGCTCAATGTTTCATTTTGTGATTTCATACATTCTTTATCATGTTCTTCAGCTACAACAAAGGAGTCATAAACATATTGGGAAGGTTCTTTCGGGGGCATTTGTGAGTAAATTTGGCTGAGATCATTATACTCCCGGAAGGGAGGAATTCTGAAAGCACCACAAGCTATAGGTTTCGGGCTTCTGAAATATAAATAATATTAAGCCGTATATTTTTAATATTACCGGTATTAGGGTACGGTTTAWATTAGTAGTATTTGACATACTTAATGGATTGAAGATAATGTGCTTGCATCTGAGAGGATGTGGGTGCATTTTCGTCTATTGTATCCAACTCATCACTCGATACAATCATAGAGTCCTTTRTATACTTACTACATGGCATTTCAATATATTCATCGTCACTTTCATCGCCACTTGCTACAGCCTCATAATCAATAAAATTATCCAGACGACGACGATTTTGCCGTTGTAATCGGAAGCAATCAACAGCCTATTGTACACATTTCATACATTTGTATCTCAGATACTTAAAAAATGTCAAAATGAGTTACCTTTTGCGTTTCAGTGATTTCTTCGCAATCCGTATCAGACCCTTCTTCTGAATTTGCATTAGTAACACAATCTCTGTGTGTGTTTGAAATGGATTCTGTACAAAGGTTGGGCTGTTAAATTAATTACAATATACTATTATCATGGCCACTATAAGACGATTTTTTATTTATATACGTACGATTTGTGTTTCAATAAAATCGTCACAATAAGTTTCCGACCCTACTGCTCTCTCCTTCCCTTCACCTGAAACGTTCGATGAAATATTTTTTTCTTCATTATAACTTACATTTGTTGATGAAAATAAATGCCGATCAGATGATGCTTCGCGAATCTGTTTCTCTGCGAAGGCAACGCACTGTTTTATATGTTCCGGCATGTTCTCTTTACATATTTTCTTATTTTCTAAGTACAATTCGGAAATGGTTGGTGATTTTTCATATGGCTCTGGTTGAGTTGATAATCGTTCTGGTGACGTTATGGGTCTATTACGATTCTGCATTTTTAAATTGGGATTGACATTAATTGATGTGTTTAAAAAATCATTAGCTTTTTTGTGGAGCGGAGTGAACAGGGTTGATAGTGTTATGGCGGTGTTAGAATCCAAAACTTCTGAATTATAGTTTTCGTTAGAAGTGCGTTTATGTCCTTTTTGAAATAAATTGAAATTTGAGGAGTAAAAAGGTCGATTATTAGGGATGTTGTCAACTGATTCGTCAGCAGTTTCTTCAGGAAATGGTTTCAAAAAATTATTTATGTCTACGTCTAAGTTATTTTGGGTTGATTTTGATAATGAAGGCATTTGTTTAAAATATTTATTTAAAATTGGTTTTATGGATTTCGGTTCCGAGTTCTTGAAACTTCCACTGATCAAGGCCTGTGTCTCTACCTGACAMTCTTCATCTGATGTGTCAGATAAAATTATAACGCCAGATGATTTATCTTCGTTGTTATGTGTACCAAAATTATCGTCCTCCAGTTTCAATGATTTCCTTTTTGTGTGAACTTTATTTCCAAACTTTGAAAGCTGCCGCTGAAAAGCTTTTGCTAAAGGACCCTGTACTGGAGTCGACTTGTTACCTGCCTTTATTGTAAATTCATTCCAATTCATTTCTTTTATATACTGATTATAGGGCCTTTCACTATATTCGTCGCTACTACATGCAGGATCATTATCCACATTATGACGATTTTGCCGCTGTAATCAGAAGCAATCAACAGTCTATGTGTAATGTATACAGTATGCATATGTACCTCAGATACTTAAAAAATGTCAAAATGGGTTACCTTTTGCGTTCCAGTGATTTCTTCGCACTCCGTTTCAGACCCTTCTTCTACCTTTGCATTAGTAACACTTGAATCTCTGTATGTGTCTGAAATGGATTCCGTACAAACGGAAATGGGCTGTGAAATTAAATACATTATAATATTATCTTCGCCACTATAAAACGATTTTTTACATATATACGTACAATTTGTGTTTCAATAAACTCTTCACAACCAGTTTCCGACCTTACTGCTCTCTCGTTCGGTTCACCTGAATCACTCGATGAAATATTTTTTTCTTCATTATAACTTAAATTTGTTGTTGAAAATAAATGCCGATCAGATGATGCTTCGCGAATCTGTTTCTCTGCGAAGGCAACGGACTGTTTTATATGTTCCGGCATGTTCCCTTTATACCTTTTAATATTCTCCAAGTACAATTCGAAAAGGGTTGGTGATTTTTCATATAGCTCTGGTTGAGTTGATAATCTTTCTGGTGGTGTTATGGGTCTACTAGGACTCTGCATTTCTAAATTAGGATTGACATTAGTTGATGTTTTTAAAAAATCATTAGTTTCTTTTTTGAGCGGAGCGAACAGGGTTGAGGATTTTCTATATTGCTCTGATAGATCTATTCGTTCTTCTGGTGGTGTTATGGCTGTGTTAGAACCCAAAACTTCTGAATTACAGTTCRCGTTAGAAGTGAATTTATTTCCTTTTTGAATTAAATTAAAATTTGAGGAGTAAAAAGGTTTATTATTAAAAACACGGCTATCTTCAATTTTGGATTTCAAAGTAGGGATGTTGTCAACTGATTCGTCACGCGTTTCTTCAGGAAATGGTTTCAAAAAATCGTTTACATCTACATCTAAATCATTCTGGGTTGATTGTGATAATTGCTTAGAAGGATCACCAATAAMGCTTAATTTTTTGCAGTCATTTGAATATTTGTTTAAATTTGGTTTTATACATTTCGGTTCAGAGTTTTTTGAACTTCCACTGATCAAGGCCCTTGTTTCTACCTGATTGTCTTCATCTGATGTCTCAAATAATGTTATAATGTCAGATGATTTATCTCCATTGTTATGTGTACCAAAATGATCGTCCTCCAGTTTCAACGATTTCCKTTTTGTGTGAATTTCATTTCCAAACTTTGAAAGCTGCCGCTGAAAAGCTTTTGATAAAGGACTCTGTATTGGAGTCAACCTGTCACTTGCTTTTATTGCAAGTTTATGCCTTTGATAATTAGCTTGATATATGGATTCATTATTTAGGCTAGATTCACCAAATGTGCTGATTTCAGGTTCTTCATCTAAAATACCATTTTCATATACCATTGAATCGCCATCATTCAGTGGTGAATGTAATATAGGTTGATAATCACCATTATTATTATTTCGGCTAGTTTCACCAAATGTGCTGATTTTAGTTTCTTCATCTAAAATAACAGTTTCATATACCATTGAATCGGTATCATTTCTTGGTGGTGAATATGATATTTGTTGATAATCGTCACTTTCTAGTTTGGGATATGAGCCTTCATAAAACTTAGTTTTCTTCAACTCTTCTTGTATGTAATCAAAATTATCGCATAAAAGTCCTTGTTCTTCCAATCCATCGAATATTGTATTGCAAACATCTTTGTACTCACTATCACTTAGATCATTATCAGAGGGAGGTCTATACATTCGTTGTCTAGCTAAGTGTTCAATATCAACATCATCAATGAAATTTTCCATAGAGAGATCGCCCCCTAACAGTTTTTCAATAATGTCGTACAAATGTCGGATATCTTTTTCTTCGTCTGACATTTCGTCGGGTTTTAAAGGTAATATTTCCAGCAACTTCATCTTATCAAAAATATTACTAACAATAGATGGTTGAGTGCGCAAAATAAAACGTTTTCCATCATTAGATACCTTGGAGGACTTTAATTGATCTATCGGATTTGTAATAATTTCTCTGGAAGGTATTAAAGTTGAATTTTTATCAAGAACTCTTTTTAGATTACGAAAACGTTGAGAATTATGTAGAGATATTCCTTGAGAGGAATTCAATTTATGAACAAATTTTTGCGTACATGTAGTTCCCTTTAACAACTGTGTATTAGATGCCACGGGATCATCAAAAGTATTGAAATATTCATCGATTCTTCTTAAACATTTTTCAAGATTTTGCTGTGTTTCTACACCATGCTGTGAGGGATCCATAAACATTGAGTTAGGATTCAACGTAACCTTTTTTTTTGTTCTGTTTTTTGAATTTATGTCCTTATTTTCTTTGGATTTAGTAGGTTTTATAAAAACGCGAATTACTTTGGGATCTACATCAGTAGGGACCAATCGTGGTGATTTCTTATATAGAGATTTATTTACTATCATTGATTGAAACATTCTTGGATTAGTTAGGTTTTTTTGAGCTAATACATTTTTGAAAATTTGCTCTTCCCGTCCTTCAGTAACTAATACCACAACACTACCCTGTTTATTCCTTCCAGTTCGACCAATTCTTTGAAGAAAACGTTGTGGATTAGAAGTATTGATGTCGAAGCATAAAATTAGTTCTACTTCGCCAACATCAATACCTTCTTCTCCTATGGAGGTTGCTATAAGGATATTACATTTTCCACTTCGAAAGTCATCCATAATTTTAATTTGTTGTTTTTGTGTTAGTGAACGCAAACTACCCATGTTACCACCTTGACCTTATGAAATTATACGAGAATTAATTATTAAAATTAACACAGAAGCAATCATACTTACCTACAAAATAACGTGGCTTCAGTAGCGTCTCATGCTGTAACAATAATCGATACATCAGCATAACTGTTTCTCGATATTCACAGAAAACTATAGCACGCGAGTTTGGTGTAATCTATAAATATTTAAAATATATTTATGACAGGAATAATGAGTATTAACATATTTTAACGTCAAACATACTTGAAAATGCTGAAGTAAACAAGTTCTTGCTTGCTCAAACTTTGGGTGCCCAAAGTCAAAATTGTCTGGCATTTTAACGAATTGACCATTAACCATCATATTTGTTAAAATTTCAAAAGAGTCTCGACCAAACTGATCACGCAAACGATCCAATAAATTACGTACTTTAGGTTCCACATTTACAACAAAATTACTCCGCCCATCTTCGTCCTTCTCGAAAAAATTAAGAAATACACGAATGCCATGACGTTCCAATAGTTCTAGAGCATGATACATACTAATGCAAAAGGAAAAATTTTTTGAAACTAATACATTTTTTTGATCCTGTGCATTTTGATTAATCTCCCGAAAACGTTTCTGTTCGAACAAAAGGAAATTACGTGAAATGTTTTTCAACGATCCTCTTAATACTTGAGCACTAATTAAGTCCTTTAGATAAGGATCTATAATTGATAAGATCTCTGCATATAATTCCTTCATTTCATTTCCAAGCTGTACTACTACAGTTTTCATATCCCGTTTATGCATATAAGGCAGTACATCTACTGACGTGTCACAACGTACTTCAATCTGAGATATGAGCAGATTTTGTACCACTTCAGCAATATCTTCCATCGTACGACCAGGAGTTGCTGAGAGTGCCACCACTCTAAAGTAATTATTTCGTTTCTCCATGGCTCGAACTACTTCTGTATATGCATATCGTCCCTTTGCCCGATGAGCTTCGTCTACCACAATTAGTTTTACTTGTTTAAAAGGAAAATTTGAGTCGGACGAACATTTGTCTTCATCGGCAATCATATCGGACAGTACCACCTGAGGTGTTGCGAAGAATACACGTTTCTTTTTCCAAATTTCTTTACGACTGTTGCGATGCAATCTACCAGTCAACTCTATAGTATCTTCATCAGGAAATGGCATTACACGTTGGCATGCATCAAATTGTTGTGCCACCAATGGACGAGTTGGTGCCATAAATATGACTTTACTAGTCGGATACCATCGGTAGATATTATACATTACAACTGCAGCAATGAATGTTTTACCAAGCCCAGTCGGCAACACAACGAGTGTGTTATTGAACAGTGATGTTTTTACTATGCTTAACTGATAGGTCCGCTCCGGTAAATTACTAGGATATAGCCATGAATCGCCAACATTGTTATCAAACCCTAGACACTCTTCTATGTGCGAATTATTTGGTGCGTCCACATTATGGAGGGTCTCTTGGTCCARTGTCAAATCACACCAATAATCTGATGAATCGGACATAGTGTTGCAAGATGTAATAAATATATTTGAAATAATCCGCTGGAAAGGATGGTAGTAATATATCAATTCCTATATTATCTGTAACTAATGCTTCATCAAAATAAAAAATAACTTCAAATGTTATCACCCGCGAAATTCTAACAGAAAATWAAAAATGAACACGACACAAATTGTATGTTGCCAGACACGCCAATAAATTTTATTGTCACATAATGCTAATTCTATTAGAAAAAGTTTTTTTTAATKCAAATAAATATCACACCGAAACATGAAACATGTAGCTCAAGATAATATGGATAATAATTATTTGCAATATTGTCTATTAATATTATTCGCTATACAAATGCCTATACCTGTTCATGAAAACGGTAACACTACAATGTAACTTTCATGCAGTTTAATTAATCGATAAGTTTTCCCCATCTCAGCCCTTACTCATTCTCTTTGTTAATTTATTCYCTTAGTTTTAAAACTACGGCGAATTTACTTCAATTCTCTTAGCTCAATTAATCATATAATTTGTTTGGGTAGGCAACATTGCCTCACTACACGCAGCCAGAAATTAGTAAGAAGCAAAATGTCAGCGGTTATATACTTATGCATCCGGCGCATGGATGTAAAAAATTTTTTGTTTTAAGTGAACTGATGTGAAGTGAAAATCAAAAAAGAAAAATAATATACATTTGTATACTATTTGGTTCAATGTCGATAATTTTCTATGGTAGAAGTGTATTTTGTTAATAAGGCAACAGACTTGTCTTTACCAACAATTTGTTATTTAATCAAAATGCTTCGAATTACTAAGGAACGAAATTGCAAAAACAGCATGCGAGTCTGTTCGTGTGAATTTAAATGTGATATGCTGTGAAGTTCAAAACTTGCGTATATATATACATATATAAGCTTGGTTAATATACTAATCGAAATACTGATTGGATTAAGTATTAAAAAATGTGTCGAGCACAAAAAGTAAGATAATTGAAGATTGGAATATTATACACTAACACATATCCACACATACATACATATGTGTGTACAATGTACACATATTCCTATACGGCCATATGCATTTTTTATCGACTCGCGCCAATTCAATACATACGTATGTATCTTAAATATAGCGTGAAGAAAGTTAAGGTAATTGACTGTTCTTATTCGCTCGTATAACTTGCCAAGAACTACAAAAATTAGTGAATTGTTTTAAATTTTTCAGTATTTTGTCATTTTCYTTGAATTTTAGTTGTTCAATGCTCTTACGCATACATTTAAGTTCTGTGTGTGGCTTATGCTCCCAAGAGAGGATGTAAACATACATTCATATGTATACATATGGCTATAAGCGCACCACCGTAAACCTATACAGTTTCAATTAACTTTTGTGTATCTTTTGATATTTTTAACATGTTTTCTTTGGTTAGGGGTTTGAACAATTCACTTTAATAACCTAACAGGTTCTATAGGTAAGGAAAAACACAGTAGTTAAAAAATGTACAAGTTGATTTTAAAATTTTAACTTTTAAATTTGTCAAATGCTCTCCCAATTCCAATACTCCATTAATGTGATTAAATTTTCTCTCTGGTTAAAGTTCACGCTTCCTTCAACTGTTTCCGCTCTCTCTATGTATATTGAAAAAATGTTTATTTTTGGTATTATAATTTATTATAAATAATTTGTTTGGCGTCGCTACTAACATTCCTCTGCATTTGGTTTCAATCACTGTTTCCGCTTAACACAAAGAGATGAATTCTACCATATTAAAAACTGAAGTGTTACAATTTTTTGAATAAACTTAAGACTGCAGAATTAATACTTTGAAAGAATTTCATATATTACTAAATTAAGCGATAATAAATAAAAATATGTACATACATACGTACATAMGTATGCATATGCAAATGTAATTATAAATACAATGAAATACCTCTTAACCGGACACCCGCCGTAGCAATGTTTTTGTGCGGCTACGGAAGCTGTCCGAATTATATTTCTACGGAACTAATAAGTTCGAGCCAATATCAGGCAGTAGTGGGTGAATCACAATAATCCCATTAGTTTCCGTGCCAGATTATAGGAGTTGGTTCTGTATAAAAATATTAATGAAAACGTTGTGTTCTGGCGCGATTATAAGGACTCTCCGTAAAGGGTAATTTCACTGTATATCCATTTGGTTTGGAGTGAAGTGCAGTCATCTGCGCTGTTATTTCATTGAACACGGTGTGTAGTTGCATCATATTTGATGATTTTAGAAATGAAATAATGATACTGTCAACCAGGATTTTTATTGTTTCAAAAACGTATTTGAATAATAATAAGTATTCTAGTTCATAAACAAAAAACAGCTTTATATAGTTAAAGATGTATTTCAATTCAAAAAATTCCCTTCCCTGATATTTTAATTTGATTTCGATCTCGATCCTCGAAATCTACCTGCATAGAATGTTTGTTTATATCGATTTTTGACAATTACAGCTGCCTATAAATGGAAAATGAATAAATTCTGTTCGATTAACTGGAATATGTCACATGATTTTTCATTTTCAATATTAATAGCAACGGGTTGCAACAGAATATAAGAGTGGTTTAATCAATCTAACAAGCTGAATGTACATGCTATATCCAAAACCTGTAAATCCAAATGAGCCAAGTTTTCTGAAAATAAATCTCACAAAATGCGAAAATGAGCACAGTGGGCTTAAGGATGGCCTAAATGTGGCACCCCATTGCTATTTAACAGACATAAACAATTGGAAAATAAGTGTGGCAATACCTGCCTTTGAGTGAAATCCTATATCTCAGAAGCTACTCCACAAATTTCAACCAAATTTGGTGCGCACAATTCGTCTAATATATGTATATGATAAGTGTTGGCATGGAGGAGAACCACGCTTACTTCCCATATATCAGAAGCTTAAATTAAATCCTATTCTTTCACTTTAAAGCATTCTAATAAAGCACCAAGTAAGATGTAAGAGCAAAACTGTGTACAATTATTGCCTTCGAAATAGTCTCCCGTCTAAAATCAGGCCATATCTTTTCAAGAAATGGAATATCGTTCTTGTCCGAAAATGAATGAAATTTAATGATAACCACATCCATTGCTATTTAACAGATATGATACCCTTACAGCATTTTAATAAAGCACAAAGTAAGATGTAAGAGCAAAACTGTGCACAAATAGTGCCTTCGAAATAGTCTCCCGTCTAAAATCGGGCCATATCTTTTCAAGAAATGAAATATCATTCTTTTACTGTAGAAGATATATCATTGAAATTCAAAGATGACGTGCCCTTAAGTTAAAAATGGATAAAATTTAACCAATACTACCCCTAATAATAATAAAGAAAATTCAGTACAATACAATCAGGAAAGTAATAGGACTGATTTTCTTCCACCGCGACTGTACTTTGGAGCGTGCGCGCACCGACTAGACTCGGTAGAGGGCGTTCCTACCTAACGAACGAGCGGCTGGTCAGTTGTCTCCAAGCACCTGGATAGTCAAGACAAACATTTTCGCTCGACATGTTTCTGTGAGTGGTGCAAGCCAAAAATGCAGCGTTCGCTAGAGCAGAGGTACCCGATTAAATTCTGTGTGAAACTTGGTAAATCTGCGACAGAGACTTTTAATTGCATCAAGCAGGCTTACCCAGAGCAAATCCAAAGTGAAAACGATGCTTATTGTCGTTTTTGACAACAAAGGCATCGTCCACCATGAATTTGTTCCTCCTGGACAAACCGTTAACGCCACGTTCCACGTAAGGAAGTTCTCAAGAGACTCAAACGAAGAAATTGCAGCCGATTGAAAATTGCACCACCACAACGCCCCGGCTCACACCACCTTTCTTGCAAACAGCTACCTAACGTCTCCGCAGCCGCCTTACAGCCCAGATGTGACGCCCCCCGAACTTTTTTGTTTCCTCGTCTGAAAATACCGATAAATATGTATGTACATACATACATAAGTCAAAGTCTATTTTTGGTATAGATATGCGAACCTTTCAAACTAACGGGTAAAAATTAATTACGAATATACGAATTTACGCTTCGTACCATACATACATACATATGTAAGCTTGTAAGGTATGTTTGTGTTTGATACAAAACGTGAACATTACAACGTTCGTGAAGGCGAACACAATCCGTTGTGAAGACAAACCTGTTTAAAGAACACGAGTGCATAAAAAATATACATATATCAAGATATAGAAACGGACGGTTGGCTAAGCTGGCACAATGTATAGGAATTCACAATATGCACGCATATCTACATACATACATATATAATGATATGAAGGCTATAAACATCTACTGAATACTTAGAAAAATATTTAATTCCCCCAACTCTAAATTTCGAATTCAATATATGTATATTAAACAGATAAAGGCCATGATTTAACCAAACTTTGAGTTATAAAAACCTAAATTGAGATAAAAACTTTGCCTGAAAATAAAACTAGTAATTTGTTACTTCATTTACCTACGGCTTAAAATTTTACAATGCTTTTTAAAATGTATGAAGCCTTCCACAAAGGGGTGCAAAGTAATTCTTCCAGTTTTCGATAAACAAGATGCTCTTATTCTAATTTGAAAATTGAACATTTCTGAGATACTGGAATAAGTATTACGGATGTGAATATACATACATATGCACATATGTATATATGTATGTACATATATAAGTATATTTAAGCATTCATGAACATATTGCATAAATAAAGTACTTCATAACGAGGTAATTGACAATATTATTATTTCGTACTAATATATTGACATTTTTCAGTGCTCCTAACTATAAGATTCGATTTTTATAAGCACAAGGATAACAATTATAATATAAAATCGTATGAATTCAAAATATTAATATATATTATATAAACACAAACGACATATGTATGTATACTATATTTATATTCACTTTAAGCCATTTTAATAGACACAAATGCATGTCATTATGAATCGTTGTCAATGCAGACATTCATATAAACAGCCGTCGTACTGTCAGTCTGAGCGTCGTGAGTTTCTTGGTTGTCTGTAGTGTTGCCAACTCAAAGCACTATACCAATTTTTCTTCTTAGTAATACAATAAAATGTATGCACATAGGTGAATAGTACTAGAGCAATGTAAACTTTTTTAACAATTTCTGGTCGTAA